ACTGTCCAGGTTCTTGCGCTGGGTAAAAATAGTCATGAGACAAAATTTGTAGTGGTACAGCTCTTGATCCTTCTGTTAGCTAACAAGGTGCACTTTCTGTAATGGAAACTCTGTTTGTATCTTTTAGCCACATCTACTAAACTTGTTTTGAGAGCTGATTCCTTACAGTTTTGGTGCTGCTTCTTTTTGTTTTATTCCTGCTTTAAAGCATGTACATGCAGATTGCTGGTGTTGTTTGTACAATGAGGGGCTTTCCCCCAAAAAAATGGCTGTTCAGTGGGGTCTTTTATTATTTTTATATTGCCATTTTGGTTCCTGCCTGTTCACCTAAGTGCTTCTACCAGGGGCTTCTGAACATATTATGAACCTCTACTAATCATGATGAGAGTGGGAAGGACAGGACTTCAGTTAATCCTCATATTGCAGCCAGCTGGGAGTTTGTTATTACTAGAGCTGTTTAGCTTCTACCTCTGGATGTAGTTAGAAGATTAAGGGAGCATGGAAGCGTGCTTGGTAAAAGCTGAGACACAGGTAAGTATTCAGCAGGTGATGCTACATAACCACATGTTCCACAAAATTGCCCGCTTAGGTCACAACAGCTGATTAAAAAAGGGGGGGTGGTATGTGTGTGCGCTTTATATGGATTGTATCTCACTTTAATTTGAACACTTATGTTCTACTCATCAGAAAAGAAAATGCGTGCATGATCACTGTTTTCTGAATTGTGTGTGGCTGAGGATCAGAAAGCTCCTTGCATGTGTTTTAGGTGTTTCTGTAAGGTGCAATATTGAATGTACACCAGCATTTGAAATAAAGTATTCTTTCTTTTTTTGTTCTTTTTTAAATTATTTATTCCCTCCAGCCACCTTACAAATGTATGAAGACAAAATCTCACTTGAGAGTGAAAAAGGAGTGAATGCCCCTATGTGTGACAAGGCTGATGAGGAGGTAGAGAATGGAAGTGGGCATAGAGGTTCCTAAGTGGCAAGTTCGATGCCAAGACACTAATTTTCTAAGAAAGAGGCAAACTCAAACAGTGATTTCCCACACATAGTTGAGCTACTGTGATCTGATCTGTGCAGTAGAACTCCAGGCAGAAGCTCTGCACTCTGATGGGGTTTTTGTATGTGGAGTATTCCTTCATATGTTCTTTAAACCTTTCCAGCTTCAGCCCTAGTTACAGAAATCCCCCAGCTCCTCTTGTCTGAACAAACCCAGACCCCTCAGCCTGTTCCTGTACATCATGTGCTGTAGGCCCCTGATGGCCTTCCAAGGCTTCTCCAATCTGTTGTGCTCCCCTCCTGTCCGAGCTACGCTGATCTTCACCAGACACCTGCTACTTATCTCTTAGGGTTTGAGCTGACACTGGCTAGTTTCATAGAGCAGATGATGTGAACGAACTAGGTTGACAAACTGGAAATACAACTCTACAGAGCAGCACAGTATTGCTGCAGTCAGCGGTAATTGTGAGCAGGAAGGACTGCAGGTCAGTTACCCCAGCCTGATGGTCTCCATCTGTATAAACCCTCAGCGGGCTTACTTCAATGTTTGTTCAGCAATGTTTGTTCCCTGAGTTCTTCTGACCACTGGGTTGCTGTTTGAATCCCTTGTCCTACTGGTTGCTCGCTCTGTGCTCCACCAGGGTGAAGCATCCCTCTTTAAAGGGACAGCCTCAGGCCTAGACGCTACTCAAATCCTATTTATACACTTGTGCTAAGGGCATTCTTCTACTTCAGTGAAACTTGTGAAAATCAGGCTGGACTATAAGGTGTTGAGGTAGCTGAAAGGAGGACCTCCCCTGGCAATGGTGACAGTAGCTGGGTTTTACTAGCTGATAAGTGTATGCATTCTTGTTGAGCCAAGTAGTGCCTTGAGGGCAGACACAGAGTTGGTGTAACAGATGAGCATGTGAGAGACTGATGAAGGTCCTTGTTTGTGTGCAACATGACTGTGCTCAAAAGAGAAGTGTTGTTATTCTGCAGAGTATGCAGCACTTTGGGGTCTGTCTTTCACAAGTGAAACCGGTTCCTAGAGAGCCTTTCATCCTGTGCCATGGTGTCTATAGTGCCCGAGGCTCAAGGGCTTCATGTTTATTCCTCATTCTGTAATAGTGTCTTTGCCATGCTGGGAGGACATGAGTGAAGCATCTGCTTGCATCTTGGCCTCCTACCAAAGCCCATAACCAACTCCAAGGCCTGCAAGACAAGAAAGAATTAAAGCTCACTTTTTAATGTAGACTGATTATTTGGGGGTAATTTCACATAGCAAAATTTGAACAGATTGTAAAATCCAGGAAGGAGGTGCAGCACACAGCTGCTGAGTAAACTGGTGGATTTTAAAATACCACAGCTTCTCATGGCAGGTAAACACTGCTGATTTAGACAAGAGCTGACATTTACCAAGGATGGTGGAAGGAGATGCCCAGCCTCCAAGGAAAAGCCGGTCTTGATATGAAAGGCAAGAAAGGAAGGATGGTAAGTAAAGAGTGCAGTCACTTTCAGACTTTGAAAAGGACTGATGTGAAGAAGAAAAAGGTAGGACTTTGCTCAGGCCTAGTCCAAGGTGATACATCTGGGCAAGAGACTCTTGTGCATGAGTTACTGGGCTTCAGAAAGATGAGGCTTCTTGAGACTAGAATAGAGGAAGCCTGAGGAGAAACATAGCAATAGCAGAGAGGCAGGGACTAATCAGATCTTCATGTCTGTGCTGAAGATAGACAGAGCAGATCTCAGTTGCAGTTTCAGGGAGCTTCCTAGGGAAAATCTCCCAACACTGTGAATAGAAAGGCCCTCTAACAGATTTTGTCCAGAGGGCAGGGAAGCTTCTGATGTTGGTAGTCTTTCAGAGTAGGAGAGGTAAGCAACTGTTATGTGTGCAGCACGATGGGGACTGACCCAGGGAACAAATGCGGACAAGCTGGCCTTCATTGTGGTACATGACCGAGCAGCAAAAAAACACACTTGTGCAGGCGCAGTGTCCAACTGGAAGCAATTTCCCACAAAGGTCCTTTGCTGCAGCCTTGGCCAACATGCCAAGAGTAATAGAGGAAAACTTGATCCCTTGTTGGCTAATTAAGCTGGGCGCAGTGATGCTGGAAGTCTTGCCAGCCCCTGTTTTTCTGCATTATCCTGGGCTGCATCAAAAGGAGCGTGACCAGCAGGTAGAAGGAGGTGATCCTGCCCCTCTACTCTGCTCTTGTGAGACCTCACTTTGGAGTATTGTGTGCAGTTCCGGTGTCCTCAACATAAAAAGGACATGGAACTGTTGGAACAAGTCCAGAGAAGGGCCACAAGGATGATCAGAGGACTGGAGCACCTCCCGTTTGAAGACAGGCTGAGAAAGTTGGGGCTGTTCAGCCTGGAGAACAGAAGGCTGCATGCAGACTTCATAGCAGCCTTCCAGTATCTGAAGGGGGCCTATAGGGATGCTGGAGAGGGACTCTTCGTTAGGAGCTGTAGCAGCAGGACAAGGGGTAATGGGTTAAAACTTAAATAGGGGAAGTTTGGATTGGGTATAAGAAAGTTCTTTACAGTGAGGGTGGTGAGGCACTGGAATGGGTTGCTCAAGGAAGCTGTGAATGCTCCATCCTTGGCGGTGTTCAAGGCCAGATTGGACAGTGCCTTGGGTGACATGGTTTAGTGTGAGGTGTCCCTGCCCATGGCAGGGGGGTTGGAATTAGATGATCTTAAGGTCCTTACCAACCCTAACTGTTCTATGATTCTATGATCAGCTCCAACCTCCCCTCTCCTCCACCTTGGCCTCTCTGCAGCCTCTTGTCTTTGTGTCAGCTCTCGATGGGCAGCTGGGAGCCCTGCAGAAGGGAAAGCCCACAGCTTCTTGTTGCTGCAGAGCTGGGAGAATGAGGAGGGACCCATGAGGAGCAGACCCCTCCGGTGTTGCCTTGTACTTTGCACCCCATCCTGTTGCCAGACCACAGCTCTGGGAGCATGGGGGCAGAAGAAAACAGAAGGATGTATTTTCTCTGACAGGCATAGAGATGTGTAAGTTAGTAGCTAGTGACATGGCAAAGCTCAGTTTGCTGGAAGTGAGGTGATATCAGGAGCCCCCAAGCCCCTCTGGTCTGAGCCATCTGTGCTCCAGATGGACGTGGTGAGTTTCTTGCTTCTGCCTCCTCTTCTGCCCCATTCTATCTGTGATGCAATCCTCAAAACACTGCCGGCTTCCTCTGTGCTGTATTCTTGCTCCTGGTCACCCAGAGTCCTGGCTGGCAGGGTGAGGAGTTAGCAGCCAGCATGACTGACGGAATGACTGATGTGCTTTCAGCCCTGCTGCAGCCCACCCTGGTCAATGCCTGTCACGGATAGAATTGTAGTATGGTTTGGGTTGGGAGGGACCTTAAAGATCATCTACTTCCATGTCTCCAGCCCTGGGCAGAGACACCTTCCACTAGACCAGCTTGCTCAAAGCCCAGTCCAAGGGGACTTAAGGTCCTTTCCAACCCAAACTATTCTATGATTCTATGATTTCCAGGTGAGCAGCACAAGCAAAGGGTCACTGTTATGGTCATTCATTTGTGACCTGTGCTAGCACAGTAATAGGAAACAAGTTTTTCCTTCCCCTCTACTGCTTGATTCACCCAGCAGGTTTGTCTTCTGCAGACTTGGAATCAGACCACAAGGTGCTGTCAATAGCTATCCCCATGGAGTTGTGTGAACCAAAAAAAAACAAACCCTCTATCCTGAATAAGGTAGAAATCAATGAATTTGTGCAAGTATGGTGTGGTCTGGTGCTTCTGACAGAGGCCACATGCTGTGTGTCCCAGAGGTCTCATCCAGCCTGCTGCATCTATACAGGACACCCGCTTTCCAGCTCTGCTGGATTCAGTCTTTGCCTACAAGCATGACAATTAATTTCACTCTAGCTAAAGAAGTTCAAACTACAGTGGATTGGAATCAGAGGCCAAAACCTTGTGCAAGACCTTATTGGCCTAACCCAGAAAAACTTCTGAATTTTTTTTCTTTTTCTTGTTTTGATCAGCTCTGAGCTTTCCTTTCTTCCTAAGGCACTACCAGAACTGGGAGGCAGTATCTCTGCAATATGCTTACTGAGCTCTGTCCCATGCTGACATTAAGATCAGGCTTTGCTCTGAGAGGTTTTGTTTTCTTGTGAGTTACTGATCTTGGCACTCCAGTTTCTCATTTAGCAGCTACCCCAGAACCCCGCAGAGAAACGGGTGGGAGACACACAGTCAGCTCAGAGGATGGCAATGGCAGGTCATTGCTGGACAATGTGGCTTCTTCCTGTTGTCCTTGTTTTCCTTCAGATGGTGCAGACAGGCACAGCCTTTGCTTTAACTTGGCTTTGTGATGCTTTGCCTAAACCGCACAGGTAATTATTTGCCATTATTTCTGCTTTGTGGACAAGGATGACATGAGTGAAAACCTGGTAGCCTTGCTTTCTCACCTGCCTTGCTCCCACTGCTATGCTGCAGTGCATTAATATCCAGGGCTTAGTCACTTGGAGAATACCATTTTGGACCGAAATAATTGTGTTAATGTAAAATTTGGGGTCAATATCCAGGACTTTCAAGCTGACAGCACAAATGATGTGCTATTCTTCATAACCTTAAGAGATGAGATAAATAATCCTTACTGACCATTCATAATCTATTGGGTGAAAAAATGAACCCTACAATGTTTAACAGTGCAGAGGAGAAAGAGAGCCCTACACCATCACCCACTGTGTTTGTCTAAGTCACAACACAAACATCACAACTCTAGTTGAGGAAGTGTCCCACCTGTCTTTTAGGTTGGACCCTGAGAAGCTTCTCTAAGGAATGTGTGAATCATACTGCAGACATGATGCATGCTTTGTTGTTTAATTTTGTTGTAAAATAGTTTGGTGATTAAAGAGGGCTTGTTGGAGACAACTGAACAAACACCTGAGCCATCCACAGTACAAGGGTTGGGAGCTGGAGGAAGATTTTGATATCCCAAGGGTGAGGTGCTTATCCCAGGGAAAGGTACTCAGTGGGGCACAGGGTGCCCCAAGAGTCTTCAGAAGGTTTCAAGAAAATTTTTCTCATACAAACATGTAGAAAGCAATTTTGAGTGCACTCATCTATGGTTTATTTTCATCAACAGACTAGAAGTGGCTGACAACTTTTCCTCCAGTGAGGAGGAAAGAAACTGCTAAGTTGCACTATTCGTCAACAATTCACATCAATGTCCTCCAAGGATAGGATAACAGGCTGGGTAGCTGTGAAAGATGCAGTATATGTCAGGTGTCTCCATTAATGGAGGGTTCTAACATTATTTTATATAACACTTTTGTTTTAACAGGAGGAGAAAAACTGGTCTGGATGAAACTACTGTAAGTTTGGTGCACAGCTGTTTGAGAAATGGTGCAAAATTTTTGAAAGATTATATGGAATAAAAGAAGGACTCCACAACGGCAAGACTGAGGACCTCTGATACTTGGTATTTTCCACAGTGACATGCAATGCAGAAGACAGTGTTTACTCACTGCATTTATAGCTCATTCCAGACTGAAAGGACTACCTTAGGTCAAGATGAGAGTTCAAGACAACCTTGTGAAACTGGAACAGTGGCCCAACATAAATAGGAGGCAATTCAGTAAATACAAAACAAAATTTCACCCGTGGCCACACAACACACAACCGATTAAATTTGTAAAATATGAAATGAAAGCAAGAAGTGTTCTCCATTTTCACAAGGATCAACAGCTTGGACATGAAGTAATGGGATCCTATCTCTCTGAGGGACTTTCAGGTTAGATGTTAGGAAACACTTTCAAACATTATAAGCCCAGTTAAAGAGCTCCTAGTTAAGGAGCAGATTAAGCTACACAGATGAGCTGTGGAATCTCATTGTGAATCTGTAGGAACAGGTTAGATAGCATCTGTTGGTACCAGTCTACCTCTCCTTGCTCTCACAGGGTTAGTGCCAGGAAGTGCTCTCCCATTCTGCCTGTGATCTTGCAATATCAGAGACTGAGCTAAGGTGAGTAGCATGAGCTATATACTGATGGACAATGAAGGGATGCAAGGGTCTACCAAGAGTCAAATACTTTATTTGTTACTGGTACTTTAGTTGTTCCTAATTTCAGCCTCTTACCCACACCCATGTTCATCTTTGCCTTAGTACAATGGCTGTTCTGGTGAGTACAGATTATCCCTTGCTTTGCCTTCAAAGGGGTGGTAGTTACAGCTGGGAAACACATCTTAAGATGTAAAATAATAGTGATCTACCTAATGTTAACAGCTTACCCTTTTTAAAACAATGATAGTTACAACTGTTGTTTTCACTAAGGCCTTCTGAAAGAATTGCACAGAAGTTCTCAAAATGGTGGGGTATTTGACTAATGTGGGCTAATGACTAATGCAAGCAAGCTATTATGAGCTTTTTTTTTTTTTTAAGGTGCTTTTATGAAACCACCATAGATTTGTAACCTGCGTATACATTTGTCTCTTTTGCAGTCATACCAAATGCATGCAAAGTCAACTCGAGAACTGTGAGCAGTTCTGCGAAAGTGAAGATGAAGGAGTCGTATGTTTCTGTGCTGCTGGCTATGCCCTGGCCAATGACAACAAAACCTGCACTCCTGTAGCTACAAAGCCACACTTAAAGTTCATCCATGGAGCACACAGCACATCTTGACCACATTTGGGAAGTGCTGGTGTGTTGCAGTGCCATGGTAACATAATGTTAATTCCATGCCTTTCACATGGCTTGCCTGAAGTGTTGCCAACAAATTTAATGAGATCTTAGCTAAAGGTTGTAGTTTAAGTAACATCAAATTGTGCAACTGTGAGTGATGTGCAGTAGCAAAACAAGCTCAGGGAAGTGTTCTCTGCAAGTGGGTCCATTCTCAGAGCAGACTGAAACCCCCTAGGTGCCTACCCTGATTTGAGACAGACTTCCCTGGTGTTAACAGTTTGTGTGGTCATTCCACTCTCCTGAGTGCTGTGTTTCTGCACAGGTTTCCTCCCATGAGGGGATAGGACAAGGGGTAATGACTTTAAACTGAAACAGGGCAGACTGAGACAAGATTGAGAGCTTAGATACAAGGAGCAAATTCTTTACTGTGAAAGTGGTGAGGCCCTGAAGCAGGTTGCCCAGAGAAGCTGCGGCTGCCCCATCCCTGGAAGGTTCTATGGTCTCTCTAGATGCAAATTCTGTCATTTTCTGTTTCTGTGAATACATGGCTAAAACCAGCAATTGTTGTTAATATGTCATTTATTGAAATACATTCTTTACTTCCACTTTCATGGGGTTTTTTACCTTTTTTTTCCCCTTTTTATCTTGATATCCTTTTCCCTACCAAAATTACAGCTGATAAAACTAGGTATGGGAGAGCCAGAGGATAGCAGAGCACATGCACAGACAACTCTGTATCCTTTCAGCTCCTAGCTACAGTTTCAGTGATGTCTGAAGGAGCTTAGTAAGGTGTTTAATTTTGCCCTGAGACGAGCAATATCCTGATCCCCTGTGAAAAATGCAGAAAAATTGCTTTGGAGTCTGTGCCATTTGGATGAGAAACTTATTATTTTTTCCATACACTTTCTCTGATGATAGCATCTTCCAATTGCCCTAACCTGAGCTTCAGGATAAAAATGGGTAAAGATGGCTCACAGAGAAACCTAAACAGAGGATTTTTCAGGCAAACTCCTAGCATGCTGACACAGTCTGAAGTGGGCAACAAGAAGATAAAGTGTTTGGACTTTACCTGGAATTCAGACTTTTTAATGCCATTTCCTGTTCCTCTCCCTTTCTGCCTGATTTTCTCCTCTGAGATAATAGGGCGGCAGCCCTGCAGCTGCATCCAGATGTTGTGATTTAAGGTGTTCTTGTGACTAGTCAGTCACTTCCTCTGCAACAGATTCAGCAGGAGGGAAGCCCTAACCCAACCTCAGCAGTGCTAGTGTAAAGCCAGCACCTGAGAGCTTCCACGCACAGCCCAGATGGATGTAACTGGGTGGTGGAAGTAGCTTCTGCCATAAACCTGACTCCCAAGTCGTGGGAGACAGGGACTGTGGATTTGTGTAACTGCTACACTGCTGGACTGCTTTTGGAAGTTGACTTCTGCATTTATGACATATGACATGATGTATGCCTCGGTATGTGTCTTGAGTGAGAACTGCAATTCTCTGTTAAATTAAGCAGCTGGAATAAGCGCCCCTGCAGACAGAATTTGCTCTTATCTGTTGCTGAACATCTGAGTAGGTTGATGATGTTTCATGCCTGGCAATGCAAAATGAGAGGAAAGGAAGGAGAACCTCAGACGACTGATTCCTCTGAACCCATGTTAAGCTCAAGACAGGAATCAAAGTTCCGTGGAGGCTTCCATGCCTTCTGTAATTGGTTATTATACCCATTTTGAGGGTTTTTAAAGGGCTGCCAAAACAACAAGCAAGCAGAAAACCAGAACAATGCTGTCAATGAAACCTTTACCATAAAGTTTTGGGCTTCATTATAATATTCCCAATGGCAATTCTTATGATATACAACCATGGAAGAGAAGAATCTTGCCCCTTTCATTTTCAGAGCAACATAGTCAAACAGACTTAAACAGGAAACAGATATTTATTGTCTTCCAAAACTTAACATTCTGCACAGAAAAATTTATGAGTCGTTAGTGTTTCTCAATTTGTATGAAGAAGTCTTTTTGGGAATTAAGTGCACAGACAATTGGAGTTTTGGCAAACAATTTTTGCATTACTGTTGTAGGCTGAGTACAATTTTTATAACTCAGAAACCCATTTTTTAGTGCCTAGAATTTGTGCTAAACTACTTTTTCATGAATGACAGTAATAATAAATTTGAGGTTTCAAATATGGAGCAGTCTCAGGCTAGTATCTACATGATGTCACAAGTTATTGCAAACATCTGAATGAGGCATCTGGAATCCTTCAAGGTTTGGCCAATACAGGAAATTGCATAAAGGTGTGATGTCAGATCAGTTTAGCTACATTGCCTCAACCTTACTTGCCCGCATACTTTCCATGTTTATACTTGGCTTCCATCTTATACAAACTACTCTAGGCCGAGCTAATCTTAAAGAAATTACCCATTCAATGAAGCTTAACGTGTGCTTCACTGTCAGTCAAGAGATAAAATGAGGTAGTAAATAAAAAGAGGATAAGACAAACTATGCAGAGTTCAGTGTCTTGCATATGGGGGCTTAGAACACAGGACAGTTTCTTATTTCTGTAGTAAAGGGCAACATAAAAAAGCACTTGTCAACAAGACCCTGTAAGTCTTTGGTTAACGCAATGAGCTTCAGAAAGTGTAAAATACTCCTTCAAAATTACCCACACACAAAACCCTTCATCGTACCTGTCTACTTGTAGAACAGCCTGCAAAGAGAGAGAAGAAAGATAAAGCACAAAAACATATGTACAGAGAAATCTCTAGCTAAGATTCAAGCAATTTTCTTAAAGTGGACATTTTCATACATATTTTCTGTCAAAGGCATCCTTCATTCAGAGGTGGTGAGAGTTAAAATGAGCTGTAGCTACCACATCAGGAAACTTGTGAAGGCAAACCTTTTTTCCTGGCTCAAAGCAGAATTTGTGCATTCAGTTATTTTACCAACAGGCTTTGGTTGCTATGTTTTAAACAAAATTAGCTAATATTGTAATAGTGCTGATCCTGCTTGAGTTTCTTGTGTCACTTTAGTCTTGGCCACAAACAGGAACTTAAGACTATTTTTCTGATACCTCTACACTGCAACCCAAGTGACAGGGAAGGGGTACTGTGGTTCATCCATTTCTACATCCCGCATCTGCAACCCTAATTCTCACCTAGCTTCCCCCTCTCAGCATTGGCTTGATGCTGAAATGGAGGCACATCGTCATAGAATCATAGAATGGTTTGGGTTGGAAGGGACCTTAAATATCATCTAGTTCCAACACCTTCCACTAGACGAGGTTGCTCAAAGCCCCATCCAACCTGGCCTTAAACACTGCCAGGGATGGGTCAGACATCAGGTGTCTTTCTTTTTCTTCTGCCAGTCTGTCAGGAGCCTTGCACAACCTTGTGGCTCATCTCAAATCTTTGTGGTGAATGCAGCACCCATCCGCAGGAGAGAATCAGAGCTCCCGGGGTTACATTCTTTCCCCTTGCTTCCCCAGAATTTCCTGCAATCTGTAACCAACCCAGATGGACAGTGTTGATGCTCCTCTGAACAGCTGCAAGTTCCTCCAGCCTTTAGAAATGGTGATGCACTTTTGATTTTGCCAGAAAATCTCTTTTTCTTTCTGCAGGTGTGAACAGAGCCGGCCAGGTGTTTAGCTGGATTGTAACCCATTTTAACTGCACTAAGCATTAATTCTTTGCAGAGTATGTGCTTCCTCTCTGCTGGCTGAGCAATGTTCAGATGACATTTTTGTAACTTCTGAACACACAAAGCCCCATGCTGCTTATAAGAGTACCTGCTGATAATTGTCCTTTGTACAAAGAGAGAGTATATGAGTATGTAAATGGGTTTAGTGTGTGTCACTCCTTGCTAGCTCTTGGCCAAGACTACACGTGATTAGAATCACCTGTTTTGGACTGGATGGTGTCTAGTCAGGGCTGAGGGATGCAATTCTATTTTGCTTTTCACAAACAGTTGTCTGCAAGGGAATGTTTCTTCTTTAATTTGAAAAATCTCTCCCTTGTTCCTGAACCTGCTGCTTTCACTTCCATATTCTTTATGCAACGAATAGCATAAAGCTCCACAATGTATTTGTCCCAAAAGTAAGCCCTCTGACAGATGAATTACTGGGTTAAGGCACGTAAATCCTGGCCTTCGCCCTTTCCCTCTCTTTGGAGACGATAGCTATTGCTGTGATTTACCTGCAGCTTCTCCAGGGCTTTTCCCTATGGGAAGGGAGAGAACAGCTGGGCAGGGGGCAGCTGGTCTGGGCCCTCTCTTCTGACTTAGGCAAAGCAATGGTGCTTTGGGAATTCACTGATACTGAGGGCACTGGACACTTTTTGGCTATAGTCTGTCAGGCAAGTGACTTGCATGGAAAATGATGATGTGGAGAACAAGGAGGTGATTTATTGTAGCTATGGGAGGCCTAGAAAAAGGGATGACAAAGCAATGGGGTTCAGCAGCATTTTGTCTGCTGCCCTGTGTCATATGGGGGCCAGGTTGGACTGGGCTTTGAGCAACCTGGTCTAGTGGAAGGTGTCTCTGCCCATGGCTGGAGACATGGAAGTAGATGATCTTTAAGGTCCCTCCCAACCCAAACCATTCTACAATTCTATCCGTGACAGGCATTGACCAGGGTGGGCTGCAGCAGGGCTGAAAGCACATCAGTCATTCCGTCAGTCATGCTGGCTGCTAACTCCTCACCCTGCCAGCCAGGACTCTGGGTGACCAGGAGCAAGAATACAGCACAGAGGAAGCCGGCAGTGTTTTGAGGATTGTATCACAGATAGAATGGGGCAGAAGAGGAGGCAGAAGCAAGAAACTCACCACGTCCATCTGGAGCACAGATGGCTCAGACCAGAGGGGCTTGGGGGCTCCTGATATCACCTCACTTCCAGCAAACTGAGCTTTGCCATGTCACTAGCTACTAACTTACACATCTCTATGCCTGTCAGAGAAAATACATCCTTCTGTTTTCTTCTGCCCCCATGCTCCCAGAGCTGTGGTCTGGCAACAGGATGGGGTGCAAAGTACAAGGCAACACCGGAGGGGTCTGCTCCTCATGGGTCCCTCCTCATTCTCCCAGTTCTGCAGCAACAAGAAGCTGTGGGCTTTCCCTTCCGCAGGGCTCCCAGCTACCCATCGAGAGCTGACACAAAGACAAGAGGCTGCAGAGAGGCCAAGGTGGAGGAGAGGGGAGGTTGGAGCTGATCATAGAATCATAGAATCATAGAACAGTTAAGGTTGGTAAGGACCTTAAGATCATCTAATTCCAACCCCCCTGCCATGGGCAGGGACACCTCACACTAAACCATGCCACCCAAGGTTTCGTCCAGCCTGGCCTTGAACACCGCCAGGAATGGAGCATTCACAGCTTCCTTGGGCAACCCATTCCAGTGCCTCACCACCCTTACAGTAAAGAACTTCTCCCTTATATCCAATCTAAACTTCCCCTGTTTAAGTTTTAACCCATTGCCCCTTGTCCTATCACTATAGTTCCTAGTGAAGAGTCCCTCCCCAGCATCCTTGTAGGCCCCCCGTCAGATACTGGAAGGCTGCTATGAGGTCTGCACGCAGCCTTCTCTTCTCCAGGCTGAACAGCCCCAACTTTCTCAGCCTATCTTCATATGGGAGGTGCTCCAGTCCCCTGATCATCCTCGTGGCCCTCCTCTGGACTTGTTCCAACAGCTCCATGTCCTTCTTATGTTGAGGACCACACAGCTTGGTGTCATTGGCAAACTTGCTGAGGGCGCACTCAATCCCACTGTCCATGTCAGTGACAAAGATGTTGAACAAGACTGGTCCCAACACCGATCCCTGAGGGACACCACTCGTTACTGGTCTCCAGCCATTGACCACAACTCTTTGCGTGCGGCCATCCAGCCAGTTCTTTATCCACCAAGTGGTCCATCCATCAAATTGATGTCTCTCCAATTTAGAGACAAGGATGTTGTGTGGGACAGTGTCGAACGCTTTGCACAAGTCCAGGTAGATGACATCAACTGCTCTACCCCTGTCCATCAGTTCTGTAGCCCCATCATAGAAGGCCACCAAATTGGTCAGGCAGGATTTCCCCTTAGTGAAGCCATGCTGGCTGTCACCAAGCACCTTGTGATTTTCATTTCCCTTAGCATGATTTCCAGAGGAATCTGCTTGAAGATTTTGCCAGGCACAGAGGTGAGACTGACTGGTCTGTAATTCCCCGGGTCATCCATTTTCCCCTTCTTGAAAATGGGGCTTATATTTCCCTTTTTCCAGTCATCGGGAACTTCACCTGACTGCCATGATTTTTTGATACCGCCTCTCAAGAGCTGTGTTGGGTGTTAGTGCTTGCAAATAAATTTGTAATCAGTAAGGTACCCACTCACTGTCCCTTCAAATATAAACAAAAATTTTAGAACCAAACCAAAAATCTTTGAATAGACTCTCAAAAGAGTATGTATGCATGTAAATGAAAATCATGCAATCTCTAAGATTCAGAAGCTGTACACCAAATGACAGGTGATTCCTTTTGACTCATCATTTCCCGTATATATTCTTAGCTCACCAAACAAATTTAACCTGATACTTTCAGCATTAACGGCTGTTTCTTGCTAAACCTACTTTAGTTACCCCTCTAACACATACTTCTGTGATCCTGTGAGGCTGCGCCTCCCACCATGGGGCAGGCACACCGCAGTCCACTTCAAAGCATTTTCAGTGTCCACAATGCACAACTAACTTCTGTGGGCATGTGCCTCTCAGCAGGACACCCCCAGGGAGAAATGTGGCTGCAAGCCCAGCCATCAGCTTTCAGTATTTGCTTAGTGCAGAGGTGATGTTTTCTGGAAAATAATTGCTGTCCCCTTTTGCTAGCTGAGGGTTGTGTTTCCAAATAGCATGTGACAGGAGTTACTCAGGACAGCTGCCCACAGTCACCCGTGCTGCAGCAGGGCTGATGGCCAGCCAGTGTCCACAGCACGAAGTGGGTGACATTGGTATGTTCCCATCACGTCCCCATCACTGCCCAGGGAGCTGGTCTGCAAACCTGCTTCCGCTGTCTTGCCGCACTGCTGAGGTGGGGAGACTTCCATGGGAACCACTTGCTAATGTAGGACCAACTAATTCAGTTACTCCATCCTGAGAAACTGCAGATGTTGTACTTGACACCACATGCAGGCTTCATTCTGGAAGGAGTTACCCTTCAAGCAGGAGGCAATCCTTAAGCCAGCCTACAGGAAATAGGGTGCAGGACTCCTTAATGAAACACGTCTCCATGTGTACACTGTGGTAGTTAAAGGGATAGAGTAAGAAATCCCACTAACTCTTCATAAAGACGTGAGGAAAGGACTGCCCTTTTTTAGAACCCTCTCTTTGTGCGATTTTCTATAGTAATACAAAAATCAAAATGTAAAGCCTGTTGCATTGGTATCAATACAGAAAAAGCAAAGTCAGTGCCATAACGTACTGAGTACACTGTGGACTGTTCCCAAGGACACAACTGCTCAATCAAGGAATATAATTTAAAAGAAAAAAAACACAGAGTAAGAAAACAATGACCTTGTAAACTAAGACCTGGTGAGAATACAGCTCCTGAAGCTCTGTGTTGTTAATATTGACCTCATCTGAACAATTATCTTATTCCTACAAGAGTTCCTTGATTGAGATAGGTTTGTGAAAATAAATAAATAAATCTGCAGGTCTACATTTTTATGCTGGTTTCTGTGAAGTCCTGTGCTGACATCAAGTGGTGACTAACTTTTCATTCCGAAGGGAGCCTGACTTATGATACTGCATATGGACAGCGTGATATTTGTTATCACGGGAAGGGAAAGGTGAGTACACAGGCCACAGAGGGACTACAGCAACAGCCTCACTGGCAGGTGATTCCATGGGGATGGACAGCCAACGGAGTATGGAAAAGCAATGAAGCCATTGTGCAAGGCAAAGAGGGTAAGCTGAGCCTCTGCAGCAGCGCCGGGGAACACGAGGTGCTGGCTGAGCCTCCCCAGCAGCCACCAGATGTGAGCCCTGGCAACAGCCCCCCTTTTAATGAGCTAAGAAATGCCTGGATGGGACAGGTACAATGGGGTCTGGTGGCCTCAGGGGAGTGAGGAGGGCATGGAGAACTCATTTACTAAAGAAAGCATGACACTCAGTTAACCAAAAAGGACAGGAGGCTCTATTAATTAGTTCTGCAGAAATATCAAAGAGGGAAAGATAAATATGCACAGCTGTGAACTGGCTGTGAATAAAATCAAGCTTCATATTAGGAGGGTTTTAACTTGGAGTAAACTTCTGGAACAACATCCCTGTGGAGTCTGTGCAGGAAAACCCTCCCACAATGCAGTTTTAATGAGGAAGTTAATTATTTGCTGAAGGCATTAGGGTCCATGATATGAACTGTAACATCAGCCACGGGTTAGCAGAGGCTGGCCTTGGCAAGGCATGCAGTCTGCTTCTCTCACCCTCATCAGCAATCACTGAAGCTGGTTTCAAAAGCTGCAATTGATGGCAAAAGAAGGTTTATATGCGGATTTCCTGGTGAATGCTCAGATCAATTATACTTTGTGAAAAGAACTGCATACTCAAATAATAGCTGGGAATGTATGACATGAAAACACAGAATGGTCTCTATGTTTCTAACTTGGATTGAAGAAACCCACCACTTTTTCTCTCATTGGTTGGTGCTCTGACTGTAGAAATGGTTTCCTGCTCTTTCCAGGAGCCTTCCAGTGCTGGGAGCCAAAAAGCACCCTGCACCACCATTGCCATTGCACGCTGTTGTGGTTTAACACCAGCTGGCAATTAAGTACCGCTCGGCTATTCACTTTCCAGTGGGATGAGAGAGGATGAGAGTCAGGAAAAAGGTAAAAACCATGGGTTGAGATAAGGACAGTTTGTTAACTAAAATAAGGTGTAATATAATATAATGGAAATAAAGAGAGAGGTATAAAACAACAAAAAAAAAGCAATAAAGAAGAGTGGTGCACAGTACAATTGCTCACCAGCCGATACCCAGTCCGACCTGAGCAGCAATTGGTCCCTTTTGGGTAACTACCTCCGGTTTCTATACTGGGAATGACATGCTGTGGTATGGAATACCCCTTTGGCTAGTTTGGGTCAGATGTCCTGTCTCTGCTTCCTCCTGGCTTCCTGTGCCCCTCCTCAGTGACAGAGCATGAGAGACTGAAAAGTCCTTGACTTAGGGCAAGCACTACTTAAGAACAACTAAAACATCAGTGTGCTACCAACATTGTTCTCAGACTGAAGGCAAAACACTGTACCAGATACTAGGAAGAAAAATAACTCCACCCCAGCCATAACCAGATGTATGCCAATGGGTTATTCCTTCCTCTCGTCCTTGGCCAGGCAGGAGTCTGGCCCTGCCTGCTGCGTATAAGGCTCTGATCCTCTCTGTACTTACACCTCCTATCACAGGCTCTGTGTGTCCGTATATGGCCAGGATCCTGAAGTCAGGAAGAGTTTCCTTCATGGCTGAGCAGTACAAACCTAACAGTGAAAAAGAAAAATGCCGTATCTGTTCAGATACATCTCTAGGGAAGAAATCCCTTGGTTGCTTGGTTGCTCCAAAAGCTGATGGGATTTGACTGGAGCACCTCAGCCTTGGTAGATGTTTTCTGGGGACAGTATATGAAAGATCAAAGCCATCAAATTGATCCCTGTGGTCATCATCCAGCTTGTACTTTGATATGGTACAAAGTACATTCTTACTGTTGATCTCTTGCTGTTTTATGTTACAGGAAGTGATAGCTTGAGGGTGGGAGGAATACACAACTCTTGGAGCAGCTCTCCACGGAGCTGTCAAACCTGCTCCACCTTCAGCCAGTGCACTTTGAGTAGGAGCAGGTTTGCTTTTGGTTTGTTTTTCCATGTTTTTCCATGCACTGACCTTGCAGCCAGGCTTTGCCCTGAGAGGTTTTGTTTTCTCATGAGCAGCTGGACTTTAAACTTCAACATCCGTCATGTAGCCATTTCCCCCAGACCTGCAGGAATGCAGGCAGGCAGCCATTAGGCTCAGAGGGTAGCAATGGCAAGGTGCTCTTGGACAATATTGTTTCTTCTCTCTGCCCTTTTCCTTCAGACAGAGCAGACAGGTATGGCCTTTGTTTTATTGTGGCTTTAATTCTGATTTGTGCTACTGCTGCTCTAAAAACACCAGCAATTTTGTACCTTGTATCATGTTTACTTTGTAGCACAGGCTGACACCACTGAAAACTGTTCCTTATTTTCCTTATATTTCTTCTGTTTATTTCATACAGCTAAGTAAAAATGGCAGTAGGTTACTGAGGCAGTATGATTTTGAAGTAACATCATTTACATCAGGCTAGTATTTTGTCTTCTCACTTTTAAAGCGTGTCCCAGATATTAAAGAGAATTTTGTGTTATATTTCTAGTTGCTGCTGAAATACAAATAAGAGTCCAGTAAAAGAGGCTGAGATATATGCTTGTTATAGCTTGAAGAAATTTATGTTTCTGTATTAATCCTCCATGGTTTGTCAAAAATAAGGAGGAGATAGGCAAGGAGGAAAAAGATGGTGACAGCGTAAGAAGGTCAAAACTGGTCCCTGGCAGCAGCAGAAGTGCTCTGCCAGTTATGCTGGATACACCAGGACCACTGCATGGCAGAAATGTGCGCTGGGGTATCAGATAAGGCTTTAAAATGTAAAACACAATCATGGAGCTTTTAATTTTTGATTTCTTAATATCATATGCAAGCCTGTTGCTCATCAGGTATCCTTCAAAAGCATCTGTATGCAGTTTCAAATAATTTCGTTATTGCTGTCACTTTTTCCACTTCTAATATTGATCATTTCAACCTTTGTGTCCAGCAGCACTGGGCCCCCAAACACTGTATAAAACACAAACGAAACAAAACCAAAAACCAAACAGTCCTGCCCCAACGCATTTACTCTCCAGGGCCAGAACTAATGTGCTGACACACACAGCCACATACTGTTTAGTGTCAAAGGCAATAGGGTCCAGCATGGCTGCAGCTGTCTGGCTGCCAGGCAGATTTTGTTGTGGGTATCATTGCAAAGAGGAGTTTTAAGATCTGGTAACTTTCATGTCTTTGATCTCTCCTCTTCAATCAAATAAAAAAGTTTATTCTGTCTTCCATGTAAAGGGTGGCATATGATAAAGCTCTTAACTTTGAGCACTGCTGAGGGGTAGCTTTTACTTATTTTCCTTAAGACAGATTTGATCAAGAACTCAACTATGTCATGGTTTTGCTTCTCAGCTGGTGAAAGGCACCAGTTGGAATCCATCATCATAAAGTAATACAAGTCATTCTCACTTCTACTGGTGAGTCTGAAAACCCCATCCAGTCGTACAAAATAGCCTCTGCCTTTACGGTAATACTTTTCCCCTTTCCCTGGCCGTGCCACAGCAATACTGGTCTGTGTGTCTGGTGCAGGAAGAAAAGGTGTTGGGAAGGGCTTCAAACTCTCCCAGCTCGGGTGCAAGTCAGACACTCCCCAAAAGTAAAAGGTGACAGATCCCCAAGTGAGTTTGGGCTAAGAAAGCAAGGCTTTTTCAATATATGAGTTTAATAAGGCTGAAACCCTAACTCTTAAAAGAAAGGTAAAAGTATGCAAGGAAATGAATCAAAGTATTTACATCAGCATTTTGTCATACAATGTTCCAGTGTTTATATCAGCTGTTGACGCAAACACTGTTATCAAGAGACAGAGGCGTGCCAGTTCCCTACATTTGGAGGAGATCCTCCAAGGCAACTTGGAAAGGGAATGCTTTGAAGAGAGATGTACACATGAAGAAGCAAGAGAAGTGTTTGAAAATGATGAAATGCTTGTAAGTACTTTGTTTTCCTGTCTGCATAATAAAAATTACTGCCTTGGTCCTTTACTATCAAATACAGCCCCACTGCCTGCTTCATTTGTTTGGGTTTATCTCCATGAGAGATCTTTGAACCTCAGCAGGTATAAAGCATGTGTCTTCAATGGTTAAAATGGAAACGCAAAGGTTAGCTCTGATGTTTTTCAAGTCCCCTCCTAAAAAATTATGCATCCTGGACCTTACGTTTAAAAATCTATGGCTGTTGTTTCATCCTGACCATGCACAGAAATACAGCTTTAGCATCCCTTAGGGACCAGGAGGCACAAGGAGGTGTTGGCATGGAGGGAAACAAGGCATCAGTGAATAGTGGGACATATTGATAGAGGTTCACTTGGTCAGCAGATGCAAATCCTCTGATACAAGAGGTCCTCCTGACACACAGAGGTGGATGCTGTGCTCTATAACAGGAGCCTAGCCAGAGATCGTGTTTGCAGGGAAAGCAGAGGTGACAGCCGTAGGCCTGCCCATGGATGGTCCCTGTGCTCTGGGGAAGGTTGATTGCGAGGAGGTACAGGGAGTGGAGAGAGGTGTCCCTTTGGGGAAAGAAGCAGCAAAGCTGGCTGCAGTACCCATAGAAAAGCAGGACACATGGCGCTGGTAACCCACAGATCTGCTCTCTGCTGACCCCTCTACCTCCAGCAGCACCTGCTGGAGGCCAAGCAGGATGGGATGGGACAGGATGGGACAGGATGGATGGGGTCACTTCCCAGGCCGATGCACACTGAAGAGACAATGGCCAGCCATTTTTTCCAGGAAGCTGTACTTCTGAAGGATTCAGCTGTTCCTCTCTTGCCTATGAAGTTTCTTTTCCTTTATAGCTTCTTAAACAATACAATAAGCAGGATGCAAACCCCTCCCATCTTATTCAAATTTTGCTGGTAGTGCAGAATTTGTAGCTGTGCACATGTTAAACCACAGTATATATTCTCTCATATAATCTTTTTGGTTTATCAAAACATTTATGGAAGATTACACTATTTTTGAACTAAAATCTAACTTATTTTCCTTTTTTTTTCCCTCCCAGAAAATGTTTTGGGATGCCTACTATGGTAAGACAGTCGACAGTCTCGATTTCTCTCCTTCATAGCACTGTCACACTATGAACATTCAGTCCAATGCTCATTTTCAGAGAGTTTTTAGCAGTTTATTCTACAAGGAACATCCAGTCACTATTTGTCATGTCTGTAGTAAAGCATGAGGAAAGGTTTTGATGTGAATGGATTTAAAAAATGGTAAACAAGAAAAAAACTTAAGACTGCAAAGTGCATAAAAGTTGAAAGTAAATTGATGTTATCATAGTAAATAGGCTATTTCCTGAACTTATGGCTGCTCTGAAACAGCCTGGGACCTGAGAAAGTCTTCTTTGCTGATACAATAGAGCAGCACAGCTCTATCAGCAAAACCTCCCTAATACAAACCTAGCACGCTTAAACCTGAGATAAAGAGGTGCTAAAAACTACTGGGGTGCCTGCAAACTCCGGATGCTGGCATTACATCGTCCATTGGCAGTTGACAAGACAAGAAACCAATCTGTAAAAGTTCTACAATGTGGTGGTAACTCATCCCTCTCCTGTGGTGTGGCTCCAGGTGGCAGGAGGTGCTCATCGAGCCCCTGCCAGCACAATGGTGTGTGTGAGGACAGCATCCGTGGGTACACCTGCACCTGTGCTGAGGGCTACGAGGGAGAGAACTGTGCTTTCGGTAAGGCATCACCCTCCTTCTAAGAAGCCCTATCTCTTCCTGTCTTAGGGTGTCCCTGGGAAATGTACGCAGCTCTCTGATTAGGGCCAGTTATCAGATTTTAGGTTAAAGCCCACCATTCTTGGCAGAACAGGGGCGATGCGTGCTGCCTGCTCACTAAAATGTTATGGCATCCCGAAGCTTTGCAGGCTGCCTCTTCCCCCTGAGCCTCCCTGCTCTGGGGTCCAAAGGTGGGTTCCAAAGGCAGCCCTGCCACTGCCACCTGCACCCCCCGGCTGCTTCTGCCAAGGTCCAGGCAGCGTGTGGCCTGAAGAAGCAGGGTTCCAGTGCCAGTGCCTGGGAAGCCACCCCTGTGACTCCAAGGTCACACATACCCACAAGGCAATCCCTCAGGACAGAGGGACTCCAGAACTGTTTTCAGTGGACATGTAAAAGGCGTAAAGCAAAACGGATGCTTTCTGGCACATAAAACACCCTGGGCCAGACCCTACATTTTCACATCTGCCAGGTTCTACCTTCCAGCCCTTACATCAGTAGTTCTGCCAGCTCAGAGGTCCCCTGGGGTGGGAGACACCCTGGCTGGGGAAAGGCAGGGTCATTTTCTGTATAAGGGTGTGACTATGACCAGCTTCTGAAGGAGCACCAAAGATGACACAGCTGGGACCAGTGCTGAGAACTGGGTCTGCTCAGCAGGAGCTACCTTATATGAGGTTTGTCACTACTTCTCCACCTGTGAGCTAGATCCACCATTAAAAGGCTATTCCTTCTACTGCTTTGTGCTGAAGCTGAAGCCTTTACTCAGCCATGGAAACTTGACCAACCATGTTACAAAAACAAGTAATACCCCCTTTCTTTTTTCTTGTCTTTGGTAGCTGCTAAGTTTCTTAGCACAAGTTTGAGAATAAGATCTAAGCATTTGATTTTGCTGCAAAGCAAAGCAGAAAGCTTAAGCCTTCTTCCTCAAGCAATACCTGCCTTCCTAACATGCACAACAGTTCTCTCAGTTGCAAATGCTTAGTGTTTTGTTTAAGAGAGCAGAAAGAAAACCCATGGCATCCTTTCATGGGTTCACACAGAAGGCCTTGCTTGACCCTTAGCTAACACCCCCCAAAACTCAGAGGCACAGACAGTCTGGTGCAAGAAGGTGCTGGGTGAGCACAGTTTGCAAAGAGTCTGTGAATGCTGCAGGCTCAACTGTCTCCAATTTCTGCTTAAACAATGTGGTGTGAAATACTACCAAGGCAGTCCCTACCCACCTCCCCATAAAGCAAGTAAAAAAAAGAATGCCAAGTAAAGATGACTCAAGCCATGAAA